ACAAACAAGAAAAAAGAATAAAAACAGAGCAAAAAATAGGGGAAAAAAAGAAAACAAAATAAGTAAAGACCAAAAACAACAACAACAACAACAACAAAATCCCTCCACATGTTTGAGTGGCTGCTTTCTTTCCAGAGCCTGTGGGACTGGAATCCACCAGCTTGTTTGGGAGACAGTGAGTCCCAACTAGGGCCTAATTTATTTCCACATCCAGTTTTTGCTATGCTAATGCTGGGTCCTGCCAGACCTTTCTCACTGGGTGTGGTCAGTCAATGGTGGATGTCTGCCTTAAGGGTATTTACTCTAGCATTTGTTAGTGTTTGCTCACTTCTAAGTGCCCAAGTACTGCTATCTCTGAATAGCTTTATGCCTTCCTTCCTCCAGAGGTGCCTCTGTCCATGCACCCCAGGATGTAGCAACTGTCTAACCTCAGGCATACATTGATTGATCACGTTGGCAGATGAGAAAACCAAAGGGACCACTGAGCTCTCTGCTGGAAATAGGCAGCAAGGGGGGATAAGAAGTCTGCTGGACAGCATGTCTGCACTTTTGAGGCAGGAGATTAGGGTGTGGAAAGCATCTGAGCAAATGGATGTAACCTGTCAATCATGGAGGTCCAGGAGACATGCGCCCAAGCCCTGCACCTGGAACCAATCAGAAAGTGCTATCTCCAGTTCATTCTGGAAGAACGTTCATAAGGCAGATTCATTCATAAGTCTGGCAAAGTGAGTCTTATACAACTTTGACACAAATATACACTGTAAAAAACCAAATACACACAGCAAGCACTCAGGAGGCTGAGACAGGAGGATCGAGATGAATTCAAGGCTAGCCTGGGCTACATAGTGAGTTCAAGGCCTGAATACATAGTGAGACCCTGTCTCAAAAAAAAAAAAAAAACTAAAAAGGCACACACATAAAAATACAAGAAGTTGGGACTGGGGATTTAGCTCAGTGGTTTCGCCGCCTGCTGTGTAAGTGCAAGGACCTGAGTTCGATCCCTGGTACCAAAAAAAAAAAAAATACAGGAAGTCCCCAAATGTTCTGTACTACTACACACTATGCACGGTGAGATACTTCTGCAACTATGAATATACCTAGTGTGAGGTCTGTTCATATCTGTGTTAGTCGGGAACTTAATGTACTTCTTTTTCTAGTTTTTGGCCTGTCAGGTAAAAGGGCCGAAGACCAAGACCAGACCAGGCCACAACAAGCCTTTATTAGGGGAATAGATCTGCCGGGCTGTCTCTGAACAAAGGAGAGACAAAAGCAATATGGCTGGGGCAGGGAGAGTCTTTTATAGAGACTGGGGTGGGGCTTGTAGGGGCTGAGGCGGGGTTGCGTGAGGTAGTGACTAGGGAATGGAGGAGCCGGTGATGTCACTAGGTGGTAGGAGGTGAGCAAGTATTAGGTTACTGTCTAGGTTGGAACAGGGGCATGCTGGGAAGAAGGGTTTGTTCTTTGGTGGGAGCAACCATCTTGGCATGATGTCACACAGGGGAGGGGGCAAGGCACCATAGGAAGAGGGCAGCTACTATACTTAATAGCTGCTGAGGTGGTGGGAGACCTATCATGGCCCTCCCCCACTTTGCAGAGCATTTTTTTTTTCTACTTTTAATAAATGTAAAAACTTGATTCATTTCATGCTTGCTTTGACCATTCTTTGTTCAGGATAAAAAGAACCTAGAAACTACCTCTAGAAGGAGATTCCAGCACCCCAAAGCCAAGTAACACTTTCAGGCCCTGTCTCTTCAGAAAATCATAGGACTAGCCTGGCTTCTCACCACAGAGGGTGGGAACAACCTGAGCTTGCCTTGCTTGGACTTACCTTGTATCATTCCACATAGGTTCCCTTCCCTGAGAGCCAGAGTTAGTGTTCCAAGCTGCTTCTTTCTTTCTTTCTTTTTTTTTTTTTTTGAGACAGGATCTCACTATGTAGTTCTAGTCTTTCCTGTGGGCTCGTTCTTGATTCCTGGACCTCTACTTCTTTTTCCCTTTGCTAAGTTGCTTTCTAAGTGTCCTGGAGAATCCATATTTTGCCATTGGTCTCTACTCGGACATTTGTCATCCTCACCAGTCCTGTTCCGGCTTCAGCACGCTGAGACCTGAGGTGAGAACCCACTTCCTGCCCCTGCGGTCATGTGACTCATTCTGGCTGGGCGGAAGTGACACACATTACTTCTGCAGTGAACTTCTAATTGCTGGTGTGGGCTCTCTAAAGAGTCTTCTCTCCTTTGCCAATGGCCAACACGGTTCCAGAGAGCCTCCTTCATCAGCCTGGGTCCAGGGGAAAGGCAGAGCAGAGCCTCTTGGCACCCAGACAACTTCTTGCCTTAAACACTGAGAGTTTTTAAATTGTATGTTACTGCGGTATAAAGTAGCACATTCTCACGTTAAAGACACCTTTTTTCAGTCAAGAGGCAAACCAACCAACCAAGCAACCAGAAAGATAACCCATATTAAGAATGTTAGATAACCCATTTTAAGAATAAAGGGAATTCCCTTTAAATAAATAAAACTAAAAACCTGTACAATACTGCTGCAAAAGAGCTGCTCAGTGGGCCTTGGATTGTTTAAAATACTGATGGAGTGCCGGGGATTTGGCTCAGTGGTTCCAGCGCCTGCCATGCAAGCACAAGGTCCCAAGTTCGATCCCCGGTACCCCCCCCTAAAATAAATAAAATAAAATACTGATGGAACCAACTCTCAATAGAAATCCAGACATATTCTATTCCTTCAAAGATCATTTGTCCCAATTTGGGGAAAGTTGGAAGCTATAAAGTGCTAAAGAGAGATATTAAGGGCAAATCAATTAATCAAAGCCAGCCCCCATATAATCAGACATGAGAGAAAGACGGGGACAGGGGCACTTTGGAGGGTATGGGGGCAGCAGTGTGAAGCTTTTGTGTTGGGGACAAATTTGGTTCCTAGTTGTTCCCTGGGCTCTCGGAAAGACCTCCAGGACTGGAGCTGAGGCTCCTTTGTGTGTCCTCCTTGCCCTCTGGTCCGTGGGCCAGCTCTGTGTGCTTTTTTTTTTTTCCCCCCTTAAATTCTTTTATTGGTACATTTTAGGTATACAGTACGTTTACATTTATCATTGGGTGCTTGTACCTGTACATGACATATCTTGGTTCTTATTTTTTTCCCCATTACCTGTGCGCCCTTCCCTATTTACATAGACTTTGTTTCCTTTTTTTTTTTCCTTTTCTCATAATTTTTCCTTTCTCTCCTTTCCTTTCCCCTTCCCCTCCCATCACCCCTACCCCTACCCCTTTGGACCTTTTCTTCCTATTTTGAATTATCAATTATTCGTTTTAATCATTTTAATTCTTACTTACACTTTCAGTTTCTCACACTAAAGAAACTATTTGGCATTTACACATGTGTGTCCTATTTATTTCACTTTTGAGTACGGCCCCAATATGCATCCATTCAGCTGTAAATGTCTCTAGTTACTTGTTCTTTTTTTTTTTTTTTTTTCCAGTACTATGCTACTTTTATCACAGTAGCCTTGCTTGTAGTATAATTTCAAATTGGGGA